ATGGTGCCCTCTGCATCAGGAGATTGAACCATACACTGGAACGGGGAGGGCTAAGAAACAAAATGAGTTGGTAGGCAGGAGCTAGATCATGGGATGCTCAGTTGGTCTGATTAAGGAGTTTGGATTTTAGCTTTCCCTGCTAAGGGATTAAGGCTTTATCCAAAGAGCTAGGGAAACCTTTGGTGGAGGGTAGAGGGGTAGAGAAGGTGTAAGTATAGAGTGATAGAGCCACACTAGCAAATTTTTTATTGCTGTCTGGAAAATAGTTTAGAGGAAATACAAATAGAAAGTTATGAGACTGCTAGGACATTCCAGAGGAGAGATAATGGTGGTATTGACCAGGGGAGTAGCAAAGAGGAAGTTGAAAGAAGGGGATTTCATATAGATGATGGCTGGATGGTTTGATGTGAAGAGGAGAGAGAGAGGAAAGAATTAAAGATGATTGCTAGTTTTCTGACTTGGAAACTGTAGAAGTTCAAATGAGAGGGTAATAAGTTCAGTGTTCAATAAGACAAATCTGAGGTGCCTAACGGATACTCGAGTAGAGAGGTCCAGCTGGCAGTTGCAAAGATAAGCTGGAGCCTAGGAAAGAGGTCTGGTCTGGAGATAAATTTTTGGTGTAGGGATGGTGCCTGAAGCCATTGGAGTGGATGACATCACCCAGAGATGAGAAAGGACAGCCTGTGACTGTGCCCCAAGGAACTTCAACATTTAAGGGATAGAGCCAGGAAGCAAAGCCTGCAAGAAATGGAAAAGGTGTGGCTTGGAGGGGCAGGAGAAGCAGAAAAGAGGAACAGTGTGAAGGCCAAGGGAGAATAAAGCTTCATGGACAAGGAAACAATCTTATTGTGAAATACTGCAGGAAGGTCCTATGAGTTAAAGCCCTGGAGAAGCTGTTATTAACTTCGGAGAGTGTGGTTTCCAGGGGCTGGAGGAGAGGAAGCCAGGTCCAAGGGGTTGAGGAGGAAGTTACTGTGGGCAAATAAAGACAGCGAGTGCTGCAGACTCTACTAGATCCTTGACATCTGCAAAGGATGTGTTTCAAGGCTTTTCAGTTTCTCCAAATTCTCAAACAGCATCTAATTTCCCCCATGACTTCCTCCCACAACCTCAGGAGAGTACCAGATTTACACAGCTGTGAGTGAAGGTAGATAACCAAAGCATTGTTAAAAAGTGGATGCAAGAGGTCATCTAGGCTCACTTGTTTCCTAAAATGACTCACTCCTCTTCACTAGCCTCAAGTGTATTTGATTATTTGAGGCCTCAGCAAAATGTCAAATATGACTGCGGGTTACAGTCTTCGGGGTTTCTCTGGGACAGATGAAACCTAGGAGGAGATAAATTCCTCAAAGCCAAGGAATTCTTTTCAGTTAAGATTAGCAAGGAAGGAGAGTAATGAAGTTCACAGTACCATCTCCCCCACCACTGCCAGACTGAATAGGTGAATGAATTATTCAATCAGTTGATCAACCTACCAATCAAACTTCTCTGGATACACTCTGGACCAACCAGGCCCTTCAACTGGGAACTGGAGATGCAAAGCTGAAAGAGACATATTCCTTGTCCTTCGTAAGCTTTCAAACAAGTGTGGAAACAGACATGGAAATACAATGTAAAAATTGTCATGATATTGGCATATTCAAGCTGCTAAGGCAGCAAAGAGGAGGATATCTCTAGTCAGAAGGTGATGGAGGAGAATGAAGAGGCCTCCAGAGGAAGGGATATCTGAGCTGGCTCATGAAGGACAAATAGAAGCTTGACAGGTACATTGGGAGAGCTGAGGCAAGGAATAGAAGCATGAAAAATTAAGAAGCATGGACCAGTTGGGCAAAACAGCAAGACTCAAAAGCGTAGGGGTGTACCCAGTGCTTACATGAGCACTCAATGCTAGTTTCCACTTGCTCCCTGGATGCTCCTTCACTGCCCATTCCTTAAATGTCTACTTCCCCCAGAGCTTTGTTCTAGGGCCTCTTCTCTCACTTTCATACTCTGTCAGGGAAATTTCATCATCTCCCAGGGCTTCTGTTGCCATTCACTTGCTAATGACCCCTAAAGCCTTATCTCCTCCAGTGCAGAAAACTTTCTTGAACCCCACACCTGTATGTCCAACTGTATCGTGGACTCCACTACATGGACGATGCATGGAGACTAGCCTAAAACTGAATTATTTTTCCCCTAACCTACTCTTCCTGCTACATTTCTCATCTCAATAAAAGGCACTGCACCATCCATCTCACCACACCAACCCTGGGAGTCTTCTCAGTCCCTCCTCTTCTTTTACCTTTCAGATACAGGATATGATGATCCTTGATTCTGCCTCTAAAATGTCTAGGTTAAAAAAGATCAAGAGATCTAGGAGGTAGTCCTGTCACTAATTTCACAAAAGCAAGTTAAGACTGGGCTAGTTTCTACTCCATCCCCTTACTTATAATTGTGGGGGGATCTTTTTGTTCCCCAAATCTGAGATTCCCAGAGATTCTCTTTCCAGCCAAAGGTCCTTACAGATTGTAATATGTACCCAGGCCTAAACCCCATCTTGTACTATCTTGAGGATTACATTGCTGGTTTCCACAGTAAGGCTAAGTGTCTTAGAGGATGGCTGCAGTTGCCCCCCACCTCCCTTCCAAAATAAATGTTTGCTAAGTTTTGAGAACCTATGACACTCCTTCTGGGCACCCTCTATTCAAGCTGTATGGTTTTGCTCTGTTTTTCTGAACATGGGCTGTATTATCCCAGCTATGGGCCTTTGCTCAAGCTCTCCTCCCAGCAAGAATGTCATTGTCCCCTGAGTGGCTGAGGCAGCACCTGGCACACAGAGTGTGCTCAGTATACATTGGTGACAGGAGAGCCCTGTTTAAATCACTGCAGTTCCCTGTCACCAGACAGAGGCAAAAGCAAAGGCAATAACAAGATAATTGAGCAAAGCTCCAAGGAAAAAGACCTCCACTTAACATAAGGAAGCTTTCTCACAAGAGAAGGTAGTAAGTGCTCTGTCACTGGAGGCATACAAGCCAAGAGAGGCAGGGCACCTGTCAGGCCTGCAGCTCTGACTCCAATTCTGCAGTAAATCAGAGCCCTGCTTAGGTGATGAATGGACACTGGTGAGCTGGACAGACAGGCAGGGACAGGTCTGTGAAAAAGACCCCTGCACCTGCTCCAGCTTCCCAAATCTTATCTTCCTACTGGTGCCAATCCTTCCTTCGTGCTGATCACACTAGAGACCCCACACTATGAACAAGCCCAGGGCCTGCCTTCAGTTAGAATGACCTCCCTGGGGAACAGCCTGCCCCTCCAACCTGCAACCATCTGTCCCTGCAGGTTTACAGCCCAGGATCTGTAGCCAAGTCCAGAAGGGAGATGGCCAGGCCAGGGTGGGGCCTGGGGTCCTCCAGGCAGGGCCCAGGCTGCAGGGAAGCGGGGGGTGGGTGGAAGGGGAGTCCTTTGCTACAAGAAACAGCCTCCCGATGAGGCTTCCTTGTCCAGGGAGCAATGTTAGAGGAGGAAAGTGTCCTCCATCCTGGCAGGTGGGCCTTTTGGTGATTGAGGAGGAAGGGGCGAAGGAGGGAGCGGGCAAGGGGTAGAAGTGTCTGCACCAGGGAGAAAGGGACCCTTCGGAGAAGCCGGGCCACTAAATTTCAGAGTCCCACTCAGCAACCTCCCCCGTCCCCCACCACCACCCTCGACCGCAACGTTTGACACCCTCCGCCAGCATACACGCTCCCAAACCCCACGCTCATCCAAGGAACCATCACCCTTCCACCCGCGCCTGCTCCCCTCAAACATGGACCTCACGTGAGAAGACACAGCCCGAGGAATCCCCCCACTGCTCCCACGGACATGGACACGCCTCACATGGGCAGAGACAGTCACGGATTTGGAAAAGCATTTGTGCCACCACCCACAGATGCTCGGACAGACACACAGCCGTTTGTTCGGACCCGACCCCAGACCAGGGCAGACAGAGATACAAACGCACCCTTGGGGGCCGCCCGTCACACTCACCGCAGCGGAGCAGGATGGGAGGGCCAAGGCCCGGACTGCGGCCGCTCCAAGGGGCCCACGGTGCTGCCCCCGCTGCCAGCGCGAGTCCGCCCAGCCCTGCCCGCGGCGCCGCCCCAAGTCCCGCGCCTCCCTAGTCCTCGCGCCGTTGCTGCCGCTGGACCCCGCCGCCCAGGCCGGAAGGAGGGGCCGGGGCCGGGCTGCGGACCAGTGGGGGTGGGAGGGGGGGAAAGAGGCGGCTCAAGGGGTGAAGCTCCACCCACGCCACGCCCCCAGCCCAGGCCCCGCCCTCTCCACCCCGCCCGCACTGCTCCCCCTACCCCCACTAAGCCTCTGACAAGAACTGCCTCTGCAGGCCGGCTGGGGAGCTAGAGGCCAGATCCCGGATCCCGGATCCCGGATGCAGGATACCGGATCCTCGGTCCCAAATTCCCGCCAGCTCCCTCTGTCTCCCGATGGCTCCAAGGCAGGGAGGCACAGTAAGTCTCAGAGACCCGGATGAGGCTCTGTCAAGAAACGGCAAGCTGGACAGCAGAGATTTCGGACTCTGGGAGTCAGTCCAGGCTGCCTCCTGGAGGTGCCCTTCCCGGCTCTCTGGGGGGCAACTATGGAATATGCTAGTGTGGATTCTGTGGATCACGGGAAACAGAAATCATCTGTACCTTGCAGGGAACTCTGGATGGCTAAGGGCCCCAAGGTGGAAGTGCAGTACCCAGAGCTCTGTAAGGGGCTGATGGAGTGAAAAAAAAAAAAAAAAAAAAAAAGACGGTGGGGGACTTCACTGGGCTGTAGTTGCCTGGCTCCCCCTCAGGAGCACCCTGCAAGGACAGTATGGTTCAGACCATCCAGCGACTACCTTCCACACTCCAAAGACCAGAGCAATTCTCAGAATCATCACACTGTGGAAAAAAGCAGCCCCATGGAAAATAATAAAAATTACAATAACAGTTAACAGGGACTGAGTGTTTATACTGTGCCAAACACATAACAAATCACCTTACTTCAATTATTTCCTTTAATTCTCATAATGTTAATAGGTAGCTTCTTTTATTAGCAGTGTTTTACAATGGAAGAAACTGCGGGCCCAGCTCCCCACAGACGTTAACCCTGATCACTAAGTTAGAAAGTGCTGTGAGCAGGGTTTGAACTCTGCGTTTAGATCCTGCCTCCAGGCGGTTGGAGATACAGTAGCTTTCATGCTGAAAAATCCCCAGTGGCTCATAAGGGGCAGAGGGAGCTCGTATGGGGGCAACCCCTCCCCCAAATAATCAAGCTCCAGTCACATGACTGCAGACTGACCAAAGCCCAGGAAGCCTGCCTGGCAGATGCAGTATCTATGACAAAGGGCAAAATTGGGCTGCTGCTGGATCTCAGTGCTACAAAAATCTGCTGACTGGGTTGTCCCTTTCCTCTAGCCCTCCACACAGGTAGGGGAGAATGTTGAAACATTCTGGAGCTCTCCTCAGCTAAGGAGCAGAGGTAATGGCACCTGGGCTCTGAAGTGTTGCTGGGGAGCTTTCTCACCTCAGATGAGATTCAGATTTGGGCTCAACACCTGAGTGCAGCAAGGGCCCTGGAAACTCTTATCCACCCGAGTCCAGGCACCCAGGACAGGTGCTCCAGTGCTTGTGATGCTCCTCAGACAGGATTCATGCTTGCTTTGGAAGTTGGGCTAGAGCTACTAGACTACCCAATATAAGGGAACTGGGGTCTGTATTACAGTTTTAAGCCTCACAAGGACTACTTTCCTCAACCCTAGATTTCTCCTATGCATCAAACTTCTGCTGAAAAGGCATCACAGTTGCCCTTCTCCAAAGGGCAAAAGACCTTAATTGGCCTGCAAAGGCCTACCATGACCTCTGACTATAGACCTTACCTCTGTAGTCTTCTCCTAGCCACTCCCCCTTCATCTTTCACTCGTCAAACCCAATTCCTCTGTATCCCTATTCAGGGCCTTCACATATTAGCCTCAGTCTAGGATGCTCTTTCCTTTACTCTTTCTGGCTCTCTGCTCACCCTTTAATCTCAGTTTTCACACAGACATGCCCGCCTCCACCCCAGCCTAGGCTAGTTGCCCCTCCTCTGTGCTCCCAAAGCTCCCTGTACTTCTCTATCCTAGTACTTATCACTGTATTGTAGTAGTTGCCTGGTTACTTGTCTCCATTCCCTCACTAGATCATAAGCGTTGTGGGAAGGGACCATGTTTTATTCACTGATGTTTCCCCAGGGCCTAGTGCAGTGCCAGACAAGTAAAAGCACTCTGTAAATATCTGCTGTATGAATAAATGCATGATGAAAGTCAGGGGACCTGACCCCCTCAGGCCCTGTGCTCTTAAGATCCGTAGCTATCTTGGTGCTGGCCTAAAGGACAAACAAAGCTTTGGCTTGAACGGGGCATCAGGGAGAAATGGTTTCTCAGACTGCTCTGGAAATCTGTACCTTTGTTTTCTGACCCCCAGGTCTTCATATTTGACAGGATTTGGGTGTATTACTAGACTGAGCATTTCTCCACCCAACCCACCCTCCTAGAGTCCCCCACAAATTGACCTCACTGGGCCTGCTTTTATGAAAGGTTTATTCCTAGTGCTAGGTCCCAATCTTCCAGGGTTCTAAGCACAATTAAATTGAGTGGGTAGGTGAGGGGAGGCCCATTTAGATGCAGGGCCAGAAATGAGTCTCCCCATTTTTCCCACCCCCTTGGTCCCAGTCCCTTTCTCTGCAATGGGCACACATAGAGGAGGGACGAAGGGTATTGGAGGCAACATCATTGGCCCAGAGGAGCCCGAGAAGAGCTGCCATTGGCTGACAGGGCCTTTTGAGGCTCTGCCATTGGTCAGGGGGCACACCCCAGGAGCTGGGGATAGGCCTGAGGAGTGATGCCACTGGCCAGGGAGTAGTTTTGTCATAGCCTTTGGCTGTGGAGTGGAAGGAAAAGATCTGGGAATGAAGCCCAATGTCCGGGAAGATAAGGGACAGAGCAGCAGCTGCTGGGCCTTCAGGCCCCCTCCCTACCCACAGCAATGTGGGCAAAATTGCTGTCAGGCCCCAGCCAGGGAAAAGGAGCCCAAGCCAGAGGGCAAGTGGCAAAGGATGAACCATGTCCGATGTCCCCCACCCTGGGACTGCCCCTCCCAGTGTCCTTCTTGATAGCCAGGTTGGGCTGGGAGCTGCTCACTGCTCCTCTAGCCAGGAGGGCTTCTCGGCTCCTGGAGGCCTCAGCTTGATGTTGAACTGCTGCAGGGTCTGCTCCAGTTGTTTCTGGTTCCCAGCAAAGTAGGCGGACACAGCATTGTGGAAGAGCAGCAGCTGCTTGTGCATCACCTTGATCTGGGGGTCCAGAGGGTCAGCTGAGGCTAGACTCAGATGCCCTTCTTGAGGGGCTGAGCCTGAGCCCAGACCAGGGGTGCATGGAGTCTCTCTGACGGTGCTTTTGGGGTGAGGGCTGAACTCCACCAAGGGAGTCAAAGAAAGGGTCAATCTGATGAGAAAATCCTGACTTGATTTGCTGGGCCTGGGGTTCTGATTTCTGAAAAATCACTGCAGCTCAGGGCATGATTTTTCTGTCATGATCCTGGGACCAGCAGCCAACTGTTCAATAGAAAAGGGCCAGGGATTGGAAGGAGGGAGATCTGGAAAGGTCCAAGGGTTGAGGGGGCTAAGGGAAGATCCCACTCCTTAGTTAGGCTGCATTTTCCCATCCATTGATGGGGTGGGTCAGTGTTACAGATGGGGAAGTGGGCAGGGGTCCAAGGGGTGGGGTTTGCACCTTGTTCTCTTCCAGGAACTTGAGCTTGATGGCCACATCTCCCCGCAGCTTCTCATATTTGTCTCGATGGGCTTGGAAAGTGGCCTGGGCACTCTCTAGTCGACCACGTGTCCCTGCATCCCGGGGGCCTAGGCTCAGCTCCTCTAAGTCTGTTCGGTAGGCATCGTATTCCAGCCTGGGGAGGGGTGATATAGGCTCATCTCCACCCCTTTGTCCTGCACACTCTCCTTTCCTTGTTTAATTCTTATGTCTCTAATCTAAAACTTCCACCCAAGCCAGCCAACTCCCAAAACCCTAGGCCCTGCCAGTGCCCACACCTGGCAGCCTCATACTGTTTGACAGTCATGAGTGTGTCTTCCATGGTCTTGGTGACCAAGGTGTTGATGCTAGAGACAAAGAAGTTCACAGCCCCTAGGAGTGTCTCTCCATTCTTGCACAGCAGCTTCTGTGTCTCTGCATTGTAGCCAAATTCCTCCTGAGGGCAGAAGGGAGGAACAGGCCGTAAGAAAGAGTCCCTACCTGACTGAAGCTGTAGGGCCCTTCATTCCCCCCTTCCCCAGGGAGAAAGCAGCCATCAAAACTGCAACAACCAAGGACTTCCTCCAGTAAGGCTCTTAGCCAGAAAGTTAGTGGGGCCACCCAGGGGACTCCTGGGGTGGGGGTGGGGTTCTCAGGTAAGTTCACAGGACTAGAACAGAGAAAGCTAGTGCAGCAGGCAAGGGAGGGGCTCCGATTAGGCTGAGCATCAAAGGCATTCTCACCAATGCAGAGAAGGGTTACTTGTGAGGCACCTGTGTGCCACCTCCCCCAACCCCTCCAACTTCTGGACCTCTGTACAAACCCTTAGGCTGCCTCCACAGGTGAGTGCTGCTGGGGGCAGGGCTGGGCCCACCCTGGAGGGGTTCTCCCTCTGGGCTGCAGGAGGGAGGGAGGGAGGCTGAGGGGTGACTGCCTGGGACAGCCTGGGCCCAGTCCCCCCACCCTGTTTGGTCTGGCTAAGCACCTGAAGCTCTGGGGACTTCTGGCTGAGGTCAGCAAAGGCGTCACCTAGTGCATGCTGGGTCTGCAGCAGGCTGTAGAGGTGGGCTGTCAGTGCCCGGCCCAGCTGCAAGACACTCTCATACTTGCGCTTCGTCTCACGCAGCAACTCAATCTGCAGTTCTAGCTCCAGGTCCACAGTCCGGGAGCCTCGGCCAAATCGCTCTGATAACAGCTGCTTTGTGCACTGATTAGAAAGTGGGGGAATAAGTCAGAAACCCTTGCGCCTGCCCCCACAACAGGTATGTACCCAGCATACCCAGGCTCCTAGTCTCAGCCACAGATGGAATATTAGAATCTGGGAAAAGGAGAAAAGGTACCCAGGGGGAGTTTGGGGAAAGGGAGAGGTGCTTGAATCCCACCTTATATGTGTTGATGCCCCATTTCTTGACGATGTCAAACTTCTCTCCAGCGATGCCCCGGGCCACCTCATCTCCGGGGCCAGCAGGAGTGGCACTGTGAGATGGATGGCGGCCAGACCCTAAAGGACCAAGTTCTCTGACACCAGTCTCTCTCAGAAGTATGTGGTTCCACCCATACTTCCCTCCCAGCACCTGAAAATGACTTCCCTGAAGGAGCAGAAGCTAGAGAAGATTAGATTCTCCTACTCACTAGGAGAAACTCGTATGTTGTTGCCCCAAGACCCAAATCCCAATATATTATGGCCTCCTTCTGAGGTGGTGGTGTGGATTCTAAGGGGAGGGAAGAAGGAGCAGCTGGTGTGTAGGGGTAGAGGAAACTGAAGGAAATATGCTGAGTGTGGGGTGGGAGGCCAAGGATGGTGGGTTCTGGTAACAGGAAACTTGCTTAACATTCCTTTGTGGAATCCCAGTCAGTGTGAGACTCAGATCTGTGTATTCCTCTAAACTTCAGAGTCTAAAGTAAAACTCTGAGAAGTCTCATAAAGTTCCAAATCAGCATCAAGCTCCAGAGCAGGGGAAACTTCTGTGGAACAGTTCTTAAGTTGATTCAGGGGGTAGTGGCACAGAAAGGGTGCATCTCAGGGGAAATGGCAAATGGGAGCAGTTGGACAAGCCTGGGAACTGGCTTTGGGGTGAGAAGAGTCTATAAGGTTCATACTAGTAGAAGTTTCCAAGACCTCTGGAGATAATTCAAGCTTTCTTAGATATATCCTATGCTCCCCAGAACCATTCCTCTCCCCCTCTCCACTCAAGCTTCCTGTTCTGATCATTCATACCTGTGGGGATGAGTCCATCACCAGAGCCCCCATAGCCACCAGACACAATGCTGGTTTCATTGAGGTTGGGTCCTGACACCATCACCTGCTGGAGGTCCTATAGGCCAGAGAAGAGGGGGGCTTCAGGAACATAGGGGCAGCTGAAGCATTTTGGGAGTGAGAACAAGCTTGGATTGAAGCATCATAGAGAGAGCACACAAGGGAAGTCTGCACAGAATCAGAATGAAGATTTGTAAAAACATTGAAGGGATTTAGGTAAGTTAGGGAAGGCTATTGGAATACAGTGAGAGCCCAGGATTTATAAGTTGGGATTCTTAAATTGAAACAAGAAGGAGAAGAATCAAACAGAAGCACCTGCTCCAGCCCATCATCCTCAGGAAGCTGCCCAGCCTCGCCATTCCCATGGATGGGGATCTCCATTGTGGCCGCCTTCCCTAGAATCCCGTCCGTCATGGCCAGGGAAGGGGCTGGAGTCGATGCCTCCACCCCAGTGCCCTGCAAAGCCCAACACAGACAGTTCTGGAAAATGGCCAAGGCCCTAGAAGGGAAAGTTCTTCCCCACTATTTCTGAAGTCCTAGAGGTAGTCCCAGGGCTTGAGTGTTCTGGAGTTTGGCTACCACATCTTTCCTCAGGTAGTATATGCATCTCTTCCTCCCAAGAAGCATAGTTTCACACACCCAGGCCTCAGGAGTCTTCTCATGACCCTCCAACCCCACTAGGACTCCAGTGATCATTCATGCATTCAATCATTCAATAGGCGCTTACTGAGTACCTACTATGTGCCATGCACTATTTGAAGCCATGGAAATACAGCAGTGAACAAGAGAGATAAAGTCTGTATTCTCTTGGAGCTTATCCCCACACAGGTATTTCTCCCTATCGGGAGATGAACCCCTTTCCAGGGCTCATGTATATTATCACCGCTTGGCCTTTCACACCCCTGTAGTGTTTCTTTCCCTTTCCTTCAAGTGATCTTCCCCTCCTCCATCCCATGCACCTTCTTTTCCTCCAGTCCTCCCCACCAGGCCTTAGTTGAATCAATTTGTGTATGTTCCCAGACTCTGGGAAAAGTCTCTTTTTCCCAGGACATAGGTGATCTCTTCCAAAATCAGTTCTCTCTCTCCCCAGGTGTGTTTCCAGCTCCCCCAACCCCATACACCTGGGCATCAGGTGTGTCCTCATCATCCCCTGGGCTCAGAGATATCTTGCTTTCAGGACAGGTTCATGCATGCAATTTCCCCTCGACCAAGTATGCCTCTCTCACCTCCAGCTGGGCTGCTCTTCCCCTCAGGGCACCAGGCCCGGGCAGCCGGGGGACCTCCAGCTCCAGTTCCCGTCGAGATCTTAGCAGCAGGTCAGGGAATCAGCGGAAGTGATGTCCTCTCCCGGGCAGAAGAAGCCGGCCACGTCGCAGAATATAAGGGCGGAAGTGACGTTAGAGCTGGGGGCAGGGCGGTCCTTGAGCTAACTAACCCTCCCAGTCCGGGAGAGTGAGGAGAGATGACTTCCGGGGCGTTACCAAAAAAAAAAAAAAAAAAAAAAACCTGTAGAGGAAGTGAGGTCGGCACGTGCTTGTAGTCGGATGGAGCAGCAGCAGCAGGAGCAGCAGCAGCTAAGGAACGTGAGTACCTGCTAAAAGTGGTTTCGGGAGCTTACATTCGGCTCACATCCCCGACCACAGGGAAGGGACCCCGGAGATCTAGAGATCCGAGGGTTGGGGACATTGGGCCACGGTGCGCGGTCCTGGGAAACGTCTAAGTGTCGCGGCCTGGAATTGAGGTATGGGATGCTCCCCTGTTCTTGGTCCCCTTCTCTCCCAGTTGCGGGACTTCCTGTTGGTCTACAATCGGATGACAGAACTCTGCTTCCAGCGCTGCGTGCCCAGCCTGCACCACCGAGCTCTGGATGCTGAGGAGGTGAGGAACTGAGCAGGGAGTTAAAACTCCTCCTCCTCAGAGTTAACCGTGGACTGCTGCCCTCCACCTCCTCCCACTTCCCTTTCCTTTGGCTGAGGCCTTTCCATGACCCTCGCTTCTGGTTTGGGGATGGGAAGGAAGGAGACGGACCTGACAGGACACCTTTGGTCTCCCTTCCACCCTATCTTCCTTCCAGGAGGCCTGTCTGCACAGCTGTGCTGGGAAGCTGATCCATTCCAACCACCGCCTCATGGCCGCTTATGTGCAGCTCATGCCTGCCCTGGTGCAGCGCCGCATCGCAGACTACGAGGCTGCCTCAGCTGCGCCAGGTGTTGCTGAACACCCTGGAAACTCACCATCAGGCAGCTAGCTGTCCCCAGCCCCAGGAAGGGAGGCACTGGATGGACCCTCACGTTGAAGGAGCTTGTGGACCTGGGGCTGGGTGCAGCCTGTATATACAGAGTGAGGGGTTGCCTGAGAGCTGGGTATTGTTGCTCCTTTTCCTGGAGTAATAAACCAGCTTTTATTCTGTTTGGTTTATGTTCTGGGCAGGGAAGCTTTGCCCACTTTATTATGTCAGTGCATATCTGCCACCTTCAACCCTGGCAACAGGGAAATTGCCGCCTGTGTGTAGAAGGAAAACCTCAGCATGCATTCCTAGGCACCTGGTTAAAGCAAGGTCTCTGTGTACAGTTTTAAGGTTGGTAAGAGCAACAGGAGGTGGTTCCTGGTCAGATGACAAGGATGTGGGAGCTCTGTCTAGTGCCATCAACTTAAATCTGTCTAGCTTTAATGGCTTGCTTGCGAGTAAGGTATGCATTCATTCATTCATAACTTAGTGTGTGTGTGTGCTGTGTCTTAAAGAAGGAATCTGCCATATTTAGGGAAAGAAGATAGCTAAGGATAACAGATCCAGAAATCACAGGGTTTTTAGGGACTACTTACTTATAAAGCCAGTAGCTCCAGAGCAGATGAAATTTGTAAGAATTCTAGGGTGTCTTGAAACTAACCATTTCTCCAAGTTGTTACATTTTTACTATTTTTTTATCTTCCTGAATGGTCGGTGAAACCTTTAAGCAAAGAAGGTCTTTGTGCTTGTCTTCAGGGGCAGTTAGAAAGAGGGAAACTTAGGGGATCATATTCTGCAATATGGTAGGACTTGAGAGAAAGAAACCCAAAGGAGACATAGGTAGTGGTGGTTATGGAAAAGAAGGGATAAAGCACAATCTTTGGGACCTCTTTAATATCTCACTGCTTATTTATAATCTCCTAATTCCAGCTTCTCTACCCTCTACCCCATGTTGTTCCCACTGTGCCTCTTTTGTGAAATTTTTTAAGGTTTTATTTATTTTTAAGAGAGAGGGGAAGGGAAGGAGAAAGAGGGAGAGAAACATCAGTGTGTGGTTGCCTCTCAAGGGCCCTCTACTGGGGACCTGGCCTGCAACCCAGGCATATGCCCTGACTGGGAATCAAACCGTCAACCCTTTGGTTCACAGGCCTTCATTCAATCCACTGAGCTATGCCAGCTGGGGCTGTGATTTCTAATTCTAGCCTATCCATTGTTTTTATTGCCCACCCCCTTTGTGGAACTTACTTGTGCCTCTAGCAGTGTGAATGACCTACCACTCCATTCCATTTCCTTACTGCCACTGTGTCTTTTTTTATATCATTCCAGCTGTTTAATCTTTTGTTACTCCATTCAAGCTGCTAGAGAAAAACAGAGTTGTATAATGAATACCTCTAATGTTTAAGGTTTGCAACTTCAATCAAGCTCTCATTACCAGTGAACAGCCCTTTGTGGGTTCCTAGTCTGTTCACTGTCCTTAATTACCATAATGGTTATTTACATCTTCACTGCTGTCCTAATCCCCTCCTCACTCCATCAAGTGACCATGTTTCATTTTTACAGAGGAAATGGAAGCTCTTTGACATTGGTTCCCACGATAATAAAAATAACTTCTTTCAACCACCTACAAAGTACACAGTATTTTCCCTTGTTCAGATCAGGAGATTGAAGTTCTCTAATAGCAGACCCTGTATTAAAATACAGATCCGACTTTAAAAATCCATGTTCTTTTTACTGTACCAGGCTACCTCTCAAAATATCTATTGAGCCCCTATTTTGTATAGGTTCTGGTGTTGGTATGTGTTGTGCTCTACTTTAGTCTTTATAACAACTACAAGCAAGAGGTATTATACCCCACTTAACAGATGATGAAGCAAGAATCCAAAATGTACTAGAAGCACATCTCACACAGTTACCTGTTGAGTGAAGTGGCGCCAATTAGCTTTTTGCCTTGTTAGCTGCTATCTTTTGAACAAACCAAATAGAAAGTTTTATTGGAAAGTAAAAGTTGCTTCCTAGGAACTTCCTTACAAAGTGGCTTCATACCCAATATAATTCTTTCCTTGGAAAGTATAAATGCAGGTAAAACAGCTTGTGAACTTCCCAATTTCCAGAGACAGGGAAATGGGGACCCAGGATATTGTGCTGCTGGTGGAAGGATTTTTCCATATCAACATTTTTGGGTGTTTTTGTAGCAAACTTCCATGTAATTAAACTTCCAGATGATTGTGACTTATCTGTGTTTCCACATCACGTAATTAGTAATTATTTGAGATGGGCTAGGAACATATTTGAACTTCAAGAGCTTCTGTTTGCTTACTCATCTGCACCAAACCTGTCCTCAGGTATGGAGAAAGAAATGTCCCTCGCTCTGATTCATCAGTTAGTCCCTTTCTTAAATTTCCAATCTCTGCCCTGGTTCTTTTCTCTTCATACTTAGAACCTTAGTCTCACTATCCATCTCCCATCTGCTGGAGTCTCCCTCGGGTCTTGTCATAAAGCAGCAGCCATTGGGTTAATGAGAGCATATAATGTTTCAAGATAATGAAAATAAATGTTGACAAAACTTTATCCCTTTATCAGAGACATACTGGAGACAGGGTTAGTGTTCCTGCCATTGTGGCTTCAGAAAATAACTGTCCACTCCTTTGCAAAGTCTAATTCCTTTGAGGCTATTCGAGTATACCATCCTCTCGTTATTTGTCCTTAGTAACTACTACTCTCCTATTTTCCTCTAAGTACCCTAGCCCTTGGTCTTCCTATCCACTCTGATACTTAATGTTTACTTGCACACTTCATCCGGTATTTTGGTCTCTTAGTTCTTTGACACAATCTCCAATGGTTTCCACTTTCTTAGGTGCCCACTCCTGTAGTTATATCCTGACCATTGTCTTCACCCCAAACTGCTCTATCACCTTCAAAACACTATTGTTTGCATCGTATTCACTGGTCATATTCCCTCCACTTAACAATTCCTCTGCTATCATTTTTTTTTTTTATTTTACTGGCAACACGTTATTGCTTCTACCTTGTCTTTAGATTTCTATTCAGCTTAAATTCTAGTGATTCTTTTGGAATAGGCTGCATTTCTTTACCTCTCATCTCTCATCTCTTGGACACTTAGGTAAAATGAACCATTTGTCTGTGCCTGCATTTGGACAGCCAAAGGCCACCCAAAGAAACAACTATAAAGAAGATTTATTTTTTAAAACAATTTAAATTTTATTTTTATTTATATTTAGAGAGGAAGGGAAGGAGAGAAACATCAATGTGTGGTTGCCTCTTGTGTGCCCCCAAGTGGGGACTTGGCCTGCAACCCAGGCATGTGCCCTGACTGGGAATCAAACCAGCGACACCTTGGCTCACAGCCCGCGCTCAATCCACTGAGCTACACCAGCCAGGGTTAGGAGATTTATTTTTATATCACTGAATTCATGATTAGCAATTTCAGATGGAGTCTGAGCCCCAAAATCCCACCGGGTTTTTCCAGTGATCTCTCCTGTTTGCCGCAATGAGTATTTCAAACCAATATTCTCAAGCCTCTTATTGGCCCTCCCTTGCCCCCATCACTATCATTCTCTTCACTTTGTGCAGGCTATTTATTTCTTCATCGACAAAAGTAGAAGCTGTCAGTTGAGAACTTTCACAACAATCTGGTCAGCCACCTAATCTACATCATTCTCTTCTGTCTAAACAGGGCAAGCATTTTTAAGGCTAATGCCTATTTCTGTGACCTGAATCCTAGTCCTTCCTTTTTTGGAAATCCTCGACTTTTTACCACTTTACTAAATTCTCATCAGTGTTTAAACATGCTAAAGTCTCCCCTGTTAGACAAATCATTCTGTACCTCATTTCCCCTTCAGCTACCATCCTAATTATTCCGCTTTATACTAAAAACAGATTTTTCGACCCTCTCCATCTCATTCCTCCACTCAGTCTGTTTTTGACTTCTATAAGCTTTATCCTCTTAAAATGGTTCTTCCTGAGGTCATACTCCCTCACCAAGTGGCCTTCATGTTTCAAAACCCAGCGGTTATTTCCCAGCCCTCAACTTACTTACTTCTCAATAGCATCTGGTGTATTGACTAGTTTCTCATCGACAGTCTTCCATTAGCATCTGTGATGCTTTTGGAAGCATCTTTTACTACTTTTACTACTACTTCTTTGACCACAGCTTCTTAGCCTCCTTTGCAGGCTCACTCACCTCCAGCCTTTAAATCTAAGTTTCTCTAGGTCTTGTTCTTAGTCTGTTTTTTTCTAGGAGTGTTTCATCCCCACTCTGAGACTAGGTTACTGATGACTCCCAGATCTCTCCTGTGAGACTGACATCTCCACTTAGGTTTCTCAAAAACATCCTCAACTCAACATGTTTCCTCATAAACTTTTCTCCTACACCTGGAGGAAAGTATTCCTCTAGTTGCAGAAGCTAGAAACCACTTGTCCCTTTGCTTAAATGACAAATCCTGTCAGTTTATATTTTTAAATATCCATTGATTCTGTCTGCTTCTCTTCATCTTCACAATCTCACACAAGGATTATTGCAATGGCTGTTTCTTCCCCTATTTACTTTTGCACCCCTCCAATCTATTCTCCATTTATAGGCTAGAAAACAACCTGATTCTTAAAACTTCACATTGGTTTCCCATTAGGATAAAAACTGACATTCTACACATGATTCACAAGGCCCTGCATGATCCAGCTCTTGCCTAACTCAGCTTTATCTTACTAATGATTCAAACACTGGACTGTCAGTACTGTTTGTTGAATTGAGCTGAACCACACCTTCCTCTCTCCCTCTCCCTCTCCTCATCTAATCACACTGGCCTTTCTATTCCTCTGACTTTATTGTCATACACTAACATCTCAAGGCCTTTTTACCTGCTGTTTCTTGGCTTGCAATGCTTTCTCTCTACCTACTAAACTACTCATTCTTGAGTGCTTAGTTCAAATACTCTCCTCGAACATCTCTTTCCAGAATCCAGTGCCCATAACTCCTCAAGTTTTGGGATTGTAGCACTTCTAAGAGTTGGTCATGAGGTCAGAGTCCATGTCTATTGTTCACCATTGCATTCTTAACACAGTGTCTGGCACGTGATATGTGCTTGATACTTATTTGTTGAATGAGCATCTTCCAGTCTCCTCCCAGCTCAATCTACTATTCACATAACAAAAAGAGGACTTTTTA